CCAATTTAGATGCCATTTATTTCTTCTGCTCTGGTTGGTATGGCTAGCACTTCCAGTACTATATCAAACAGGAGTGGTTAAAGTGAGCATCCCTGTCTGTTCCCATTTTTTGGGGAAATGAGTTTAGTTTTTGCCCATTGAGTATGATATTGTCTGTAGGTTTGGTACATAAGGTTTTTATTATGTTGAGGTATGATTCCTCTATTCCCACTTTGCTGAGATTTTTTATCAAGAAAGGATGTTGGATTTTGTCAAATGCTTTTTCTGCATCGGTTAATGTGATTATGTGATTTTTGTCTATTTGTTTATGTGATGTATCACGTTTATTGATTTGCGGATATTGTGCCAGCCTTGCATCCCAGGCTACAAAGTTTCAATTGTAGAAGGTAAATAAATCCCAGATACCAGGGCCTTGGCTTGGGTCGCCAGGAGGCGTGACTGGTCTGCAAACCACCACAGGCCCCTTGCCCAGGCTGCCCCACACCTCAAGGGAACCCCACCCTGATCCAAGACATCCTTTAGGCAAACCAGCTGGCCCATACCCATGCACCAGCTCTCTAGCTTATCTAATAAAAGAGTAATATATAGATTGACCATCACTCCAAGATGGCTGCCCCAATGTGGTCAAAGATCCTGCCCCCTTGTGGACACAAGATTGCCACCATAAGATTGCCAGCAAGGGAGGGCAGTTGGGAGGCACCAGGCCTGCAAGGGAGGGCAGTTGAAGGCGATCAACCCTGCAGGGGAGGGCAGTTAGGGGTGACCAGGCCAGCAGAGGAGGGAAGTTGGGGGCAAACAGGTCAGCAGGGGAGCAGTTAGACATCAATCAGGCTGGCATGGGAATGGTTTAGGGGGTGTTCAGGCTGGCAGGCAGAAGCTATTAAGGACAATCAGGAGGACAGGCAGGTGAGCAGTTGGGAGCCAGCAGTCCTGGATTGTGAGAGGGATGTTCGACCGCCTGGTGGGATAGGGTCTAAACGGGCAGTCAGACATCCCTTGAGGGGCCCCAGATTGGAGAGAGTGTAAGGTGGGCTAAGGAACACCCTCCCACCCCCATGCACGAATTTTGTGCACTGGGCCTCTAGTAGAAAATATACTTTCAAACAAAGACAAAGCAACATTGATTCTTATAGGCCATACGAATGGACTAAGTTATAGCTAACCTTGAATTTAAAATTAGGGCTTCAATGATGAGTTTTATATGCTAATGATAAAAAAAATAGTTATAAAGATCTATACTTTGGGGACTAACAGCCTTTGACTCAGACACTTTATATTTATTAAACTGACAGACTCTTCTCTGCATCTGAAGGCACCTGATTTCCTTGTTTTCTACATGAATTCTGAGAGGTACATTACAAACAAACCCTGTACTCCCCATGGCCTCTTCAGAGCTACATCTCTGATGTGTTCTACAAATTAATCTAAAATGTGATTCACGATCATTTCCTTTCTCAAATTAAGACCAGGAACAGCCTGAAGGAGGAAAATACCAACATTAGGACAGTAATATTTTAGACTTCTGGTGGGAAAGAGATCAGTGTAATTGTACTTGATTGAAACCACTGAACTATTTAACTTCATTCATACATTAGGAAAGTCAGTGAAATAAGCCAAGACCTTAAATGCTTAAATTATAGAGTTGTCACTGTCTCCTTTTTACAGGGGCAAATTTAACCCAGCTGTCTTTCCACAGAGAGAAAAAAAAAATAGCAGAGAGATGGCTGGGCATTGTGGATGATACCATCATAGTCTTGCAAGAATTGCAGGAAACTGCAACCCTATGGACACATCCATTTTGTTTTAATCTCATATACATGAAAAAATATCTTTACATTTCCACACCACCATACTGCAAATGAATATCCATTTCTTAGTGAATTTATTTATGCATTGACTTGTCATACCTCAATAATTTTCTTTTAATGTGATCACAATACACATCACAAAAGCACATCTCTCATCTATTTGAATTTCCAGAAGCTAGATTAAAAAAATTAGTCTGAATCTCATGTCTCTCTCAAAAATATAGGTGACCACACCTTACTAAGTTGACGAGACAATGAAACAGAAATATCTAAGTATCTGGCATTCAGAATAAACTCAATAAAATGCATAGTTTCTCTCTTACTTCCCCAATGTATTTCCCTAATAAAGGTAGTAGCCTTTACAATATGGGAACAATTATCACACAGATTTCATTGGTCCATTTTAATCAAAATGCTGTGGTATTTTTCACATGCAAGAAGGAGGCAGGACAAAGAAGCCATTCCTAAAGCTCTTCATACAGCACACTCTGGATTCAGACCCACTTTCCTAACTGTCCACCGTCTGGCATCATCCCATTTTGATTGTCTAGTTTCTCTGCAGCTTTCACTGGGCTTCCTTCATCTCAGACACAGACACGCGCCCAAGTGCAGTAAATCACAGCTAATTGCATGTCTCAAATTGAAAGAAAAAATAATGCACAATTAATTGGGGGGAAATTGTCAGTTGGTGAATGCATCTCGCTCATTATACTTCATGCACAGGATGTACACCAAGTGTGTGTTCTCTCGGCAAGAAGGTTCAGACCCGGACAGTGTGGGGAGGGGCTGGCAAAGCCTCTCTGCTGTGCAGTCTGGTCTGAAGGATGACATGCTCTAAAATAAACACTCAACACTGCACGGGCAGCATACACAGCTTTCTCTGCAAGGGAGGTCCATACAGTGAATCAGTAGAATAAAATTAGAATTTTAGCCGATATAGATGGAATAAAGAGACTGAGCTTTGGCCAGCAAGAGAAAATCTTTAGATAGGAATTTCTCATAGTTGATAATATGAGAAAGTGTTCCTAACATATTCTTATGTGAAAATGACTTATAAAAAATAGGTTTCAGGTGTATGTTTTTCAAACTCTGATTATGTAATAGTATATATATATATATATATATATATATATATATATATATATATTGATTTCTAGAGAGAGAAGAAGGGAGAGGATAAGAGAGAAACACGAATTGGCTGCCTCTTGCACACCTCTGACCAGAGATTGAGCCTGCAACCAGGTCAAGTGCCCGGACCAGGAATTGAACCTGCAACCCTTCCATGCATGGGACAATGCCCTCCCAACTGAGCAACATTGGCCAACGTGGTAAGTTTTGGTTTTTGAGGATTTATAATAGGTGGAAGAAGCAAGGAAGGTAGAAGGAGAAAGGCACTTGGAAAAGACACAACAAAGGTGTTCATATTTGTTATCTCTGAGTTGTTTATACTTCCTAAATTTTTTCAAAAACTTTCTAAGTTGTTTCAAATTACATTTCAACTTATTTCTGAGTCTGATATTATTATACCTGTTTTAAAGATCCATAACAATCTTTTAAAATAAATGTGTCAGTTACAGTAAAAATATCACCATAAAATTTAAAAATAACCCCCAGTAAACATCTACATACAATTCTATTATATCCTTGGTTATACAGAAAAACAAACTTTGTAAAAATGTATTTTTAAAATATTAAGAAAACCATATTCAATAAAGTTGAGTGTTTGATACAATAATTTGTTCTCATCTATAACTTATAGTATTCTAACACACCAAAGAAAATCACTATAAGTCCTTATTAATTTACTGATACTGACAAACTACAAATAAGTTCACAGCAAATTCAATAACCTTGAATGTGAGGAACTGCAAATCTTCCTTCCTCCCATCTACTCTCCCATTATTCTCTACCCTGTCATAGAAAGACCCAGTGTTGTTCTGATGCTAAAATCTGCAATAACCCACACACACACACACACACACACACACACACACCATAAATTTTATCAAACCACATGAGAACAAATAACAAACTTTGCAAAACACAAATGCTAACTTTTGTTGAATTGCAAATTTAGAATACACAACACCCAACAGAGTAGGTTCATTCCAAAGTGATTAAATGGTCTACTAACCTTGAAATAAGAAATACACATCGCCTGCTTTCTTTTATTTTTCAGGAGGGGCCGGGGCAGAGTGAGACAATATAATCATATTTCAGCAAAAGCCCATATCTCAACCTCAGGCATCTTTATATCCCAAGGGTAATATTTCCATTCCACTCTTAATAGAACAAATTTCTAATCAGAATATGTATTCAAAAATAATTGAGGCAATGCCGTGTCAACACATCATGCTGCCATCAGCATCCCTTGGTGCTAGAAATCAACTCAGCGGGCTCTATGGTGTGACAGAGAGCAGGGCGATGCAGAAATGTCAGACTTGGTGAAGGGAAGGTAGTGAGCGAGGATGATGCAACCACTTTGCTCTCTTCCTTTGCCCAAGAAGGTGTTTGGAAGAAAGCGCCTATACTGGAAGTTGACAACCTTCAATTGTTTAAGGAAGAGATGACTTCAAAGGGGTCCAGACAGGACCTCCACTTTTCAATCAGAATCAGTGTCAACTTTTACAAAATTACTAAGAATTTCTAAAACAATACCACTTCCAAAAAGGTTTTACTACCCGTAGGTTTTTAAATTATTAAAACCTCGGGCACTGCATGTTATGGAATATATTTTGTGATGCCCTGAAAAAAGTCCGGAGGCTTAAATTCAGGTTTCCTCAAGTGTGACAGGATATTGATCATTGTGGCAACTAGATGAACAATGGCGGTTCGTTATGCTAATTTTCTACTTTTAAATGTTTGGCATTTTCATAATTAAAAGTGCAAAAACATTAGATTTCTTTCAATATGCTTTATGTTCAAAAATCTTACTAACTTTTCCTTGGGAAATATGTAAGATGTAATTTATGCTTATGATTACTTAAGACTTGAACAAACGGTCTGAAATTTCTAAAACTCCACCAAGCATGATGTTGATCATAAAATAAAATAAAAACTCGTTCATTTCTGAATAGATTTTGCTGTGATCTATAACGATAGAAGAAATGCCCCTAAACAAATGCAGTGCCACCATCTGCCTGGCATTCACACAGTGTGACAAAATAGACTGGTAATTAACTGCTTTCCTACCGAAATCTGCCAGCTTTAACTCCCCCGTGTCACTGATCAGAAGGTTCTGTGGTTTCAGGTCTCTGTGCAAAATATAACGCTGGTGGATGTAAGACAGCCCTCGCAGCAACTGAAATAAAAACAACTGAAAAAATAGGGAGACAAAAGTTAAATTCTGAACACACATAAAAGCTAGTTTCTACATAGTCTGCCAAGTACTTGTATTTAATAAAAATGGGTATGCCCCCTTCCACACCCCATCACTAAATTGCCTACCAAATTATTTAAACAGAATGTGCACGAAGGTATCGAAATCCCTTATTTATTAAAAACTAAATCTGAAAATTTCTAACAACCCATCATGTCAACCCGGAGTGATACCTCCTCAGCCAAAGAGATCTACAACCCGATCTATGTTCTATAAATTAAGCAAGATGTAAAGAATGCATTCTTTATAATATTTTCTTAGGACTTAAATTAATGTTTGAGATAGAAAAAAAAAATCTATCCATAACATTATTATAAGAAGCAAAATATTTTACCAAGTTTATGTAAATGTGAACGTATTTAAGTCTATAGACAGGATAATCAAGGATTCTCCCATTAATATGCTTTAAGGAATGAAAAGATAGAGGATTTCAAATAATTAAAACAAAAAAGTCACACAGTCCAATTAATACTACACTGTAATTACACTGTTTTTGCACACATGGCCACAGAGATTAGGCCATTGCCTAAAGACAGACACGTACCTTCACTAATTACAGAGCAGACCCACCCAAAGGGAAAGAAACTCAGATAACAGAGAAATCAAGAATTCAAAAGTAATACTTCTGTAAGAAATCATTTTAAGAAGCCACTAATGGCCTTCTCTTTTTAGTTTCATATTAGATTATATCAAATGTGTTTATTTTGATAACAAAACACATGGTATTCATTAGGCTTTCCAATATTCTGTTTATAAAGAAAGGGATATTTTTAAACAACCTATTTGTCAAAATAATCCTAATGAACAGAGTTTTTAAAAAACAATCTCCTGAAACAAAAATAATAACAAATATTTTAAGTGCCATTGGTATTCTAGTCCATAGAGTCAGCTAAGTAACAAAAGGCAGGTTCAGGAAAACATTAAATGTTCAAGTTGTGAAAGACTGATGGTATCAAATGGCGGGGGAAGGCAACTCCTTGAGGGCCCTGGGAACGAGCATTTGTGGAATATTTTCCATGGAACTAGGGGCCATACAATTCGAGTCCCTGTTTACCGGGGAGATGCCTTGAGATAACAGGAAGAGGAAGTCATTTCAAAATCACAGGATATGAATGATATTGTGAAGCAGACAAGACCTAGGATCATCATTTCCAGAATCCAAGCATCCCCATGAAAACCTTTGTTCTATGTCTGACTACATCGTGACTGGCTCAGGAACCTCAGAAGGCAAACATTTCTCAGCCTCCTGCTCTCCATCCCCCCGCTGAAGCAGATGCAAAGACTTCACACCTCCACCAGCAGCTTCCAGCCTCCTTCTTCACTTCTAATAGGCCCAGCATCCTGAAGCCTGATGCTTACAGTTTCCAAGAAAATCCATAATCCTTTAGCTCAGAAAGGAAGAAGCGTGAGTAAGTAAAGCCACTTTGTTTCTTCAAAAGCTTTTAAAAGGATGGACCACATAAATAAACTTAGCCGGTGAGCACACAAGGCAATAGGATACAGATGATGTATTGCAGAATCATACACCTGAAGCTAATATATTATAATGTTATAAACCGATGCCACCCCAATACATTTAATTGCATCTTGAAATTTTTTTAAAATAACAACCTGGTTTTGAAGAGAAAGTTGGGCATTTGGCAAGGGGTTAATTTGGGGGGCGTAGAGGAGACTTCTCAGAATGGGATTTGTCTATCCCATTGCCCAGCCGTGGCAATGCATTTATTTTAACAAACACACCAAGTGCCAGCTGCCATTCCATGCATCATAGAATAGGAGGTCAGCTAATCTCTGCAAGAATTTTAATGAGGAAGGCACTCCTATAATGTCTGCATTAATGAAGAGGAAACAGAGCAGTTTCTCAGAGTCATAAAGCCATTAAGTGGCAGAGCCAGGACTCAAACCAGGCAGTCTGGCTCTAAGGGCCAGGTCCTGAACCCCTACACTACAGGAATCTTGGCCAGAAATCAAAACAAGTAGGCAAAGTGTTGCTATAGATGCTGCTTTGCGGGATAAAGTCTGGCATTGAATACCACGGCCTTCAAGGCCGCTGAGGTGAGCCTTCATCCGTCTGAGTGCTCAGGCATCATCACTACATTCGCCGACTCCAAGCAACCTCGCTCACCCCCACGCTCAGAGCATCCTACCCTCCAACCCTTTACCTTTGCCCTTCACCGATCTCTGACAGAAAGCCCTCCCTCCTCCTGGCCTGATAATCTCTACGTATATCTTAGGTGTCTCCTCTAAAATGGCTCCTCCCTGACCACCTTCCCTGCCTTCACTCCCCTACAGATCTACAGGAAGTGCTCCTGGTCTGGGCTCCTGTGGCAGCCTCTGCGCACATCTATGGCAGTGCAGCACCATCCTACCTACCACAGACATGTACCTTAACCATCTTCCTGGTCTGGCACGCAGCTGGCACTCCTATACCAGTAATGAACTGAACTTAGAGACTTCTGGATGAAGCTGATACAAATACGGCAGGGAGGAAATGATGGAATAGAATTCTCCAGAAGCTACGTGTAGAAGTGGGTACCTCAAACAGTCCCAAGAGGCTCTTCTTTGAATATCTTTAGTAATTAGTGAAAACATATAATCCGCATGTTAATACAGAAGCTATCCAAATAAGATATCATATAAAAGGAGATTACAAAAATCAGTGTTAGGAAAGGGTACAACTATGCACTCCAATGACAACTGGACAAACTAAACTCCAAGCATGACAAATAGAGCCCAAACATTAAGTAACAGCCACAGACAAAAACAAGAACAAATTCCCTTCGGATACATTCACTCTGGATTTATGAAGTGCCATGGGCCAGGTGCTGTTATGTAAGAGGTATGCAAAGATGAATAGAATGTAAGATGTAGTCCCTGCACTCAAGACCTCACAGCCCTGGGGTATGAGTGGGCAGATAAGCAGATAATTACCACTTAAGGAGGCATGCCTGTCACAGCTACACAAACCGAGTGTACTAAGGACACAGAGGAAAAGAGATCTAGCAACAGCAGCAACAAGAATGCAGAACTGATCCTGCCATGATATGAAGAATATTAGAAGGGATGAGTTATAGGAAACTTGTCACTCTAAAAACAGAATTCATTACATAATAAAACTTTAATAGAAAATCAAAGGGATCATTCACTAGATGTACAAATTAAAATGATGTCTTAGATAACAAACTCCTCCCCTTTTTCTGTGGGAAAATATTGAGGAAACTAAGCAAGCAGATCACCAGATAAATTAAGAAGAAAAAAAAACTTAGATAAATGAAAAGATAATATATGAAACTGTAAATCTACCAATTCGCCCTCATAAAAGTAATGGTGACAAGAGGACAATAGTAGACTTATCGAAAACATCAGAAATAACATTCGACCGCACTTAACAGAATATGTGCTGCTGGCTAAGGGTGGGAAGGCTGCAAGGAAGGCTGACTTAAACAGGATTCCCTAGGGCTGTGGTCAGCAAACTGAGGCTCGCAAGCCACATGCGGCTCTTTGGCCCCTTGAGTGTGGCTCTTCCACAAAATACCATGGCATGGGTGAGTCTATTTTGAAGAACTGGCATTAGAAGAAGTTTAAGTTTAAAAAATTTGGCTCTCAAAAGGAATCTCAATCTTTGTACTGTTGATATCTGGCTCTGTTGACTAATGAGTTTGCCGACCACTGCAGGGCATGTTCTTTGGAAATGTCCTTTAGACAAGCAGGCAAGTACCTACCTTCCCCGTGTACATTTGTGAGAAAGCTATTTCACTTGCTCATTGTATAAATTACCACACAACAAGATATACTAGGTCTTGGTGAAAAATCAGAGGACAATATGAGAACAAGAGGGACCGCCAAAGAGGGGTCCCAGGCAGAGAAAGGATAAATACCACCTATGGTATTTGCTGATAAAATTTAGTAACCATGAGTGGAATCTCAATTCCCAAAAAGACAAGAAGGGGGACTAATACTAACTAAAGGCTTACCCTAGTTTCAACGCTGGCCTGAGCATGTTTACATACATCATCTAATCCTTTCCCTCTACAACCCTGTAGTTTTCCACTTCTTTGAAACAAATGAGAAAACTAAAGCTCTAAATGCACAAGAAACACTGAAATCCATCCAATCATCACACAGTGCTTATGAATTTTCCACTATCCCTCATCATCTTAAATGAGGTTGATGATTAATAAATGCATGGATGAATAGTGATACACCCAATATAAGCAAAATACTTTAAGTAAGTGAATCCAAGTTGATAAGTCTCAATTAGCAAGTTATGTAATGCCCACGTGATTCTGGATTTGTTTTTGTTTTGTTTTTTTAGAACCTCTTAGGAATAAATAATGTGGCAGAAGACAGCTATTATACCTAAGTTGATAATTAACATATTTGAAATACTCTTCCTGTCATATTACTGTAGTAGCCATAGGTCTTCCTAAGAATGCTTTGTCACCTCAGAATATTCTACTCAACTTTATAAAAGAGGATTCCTCCCAATTCTTTGATATGATCACTGAAGATTTATATTCTAGTTTGAATATGTTCAGTTTCTGCAATAAAAACCCCAATGGGAAAATGACCTACATGGCAATGACATGATGAACGGAGACACCTGCCAGCAACATGTCTATCGTAGTCCAGTTGTCCTGCCATTCCCAGCAGGAAGCAGCTCATCTTCTCAGTGCCATGGTGTGGACTTCTTGGGATGAGCCTTTAATGCTTTGTCTATTCCCTTCTGAAACTCTTTAGACTTTACGTAGATAAAATGTATCAAGATAACTTCTTTGACCAAAACTTTTAGAATAAGTTGGTAAAAAGCACACATTATTGGACTCAATGTTGCCTTTATTAATGATATTTACTGGCACTTGCAGTAAGCAACACGTTTTATATTTCCCCCTCCTTCAAAGGCGAAAGGTGAGTGACCAGGTGTTCTTTGTCTCAGT